GTTATGTTGACTTTATCACATGAAAGTTTATGGTGCATTTCATCAATTAATAAATAAATGTGAAAATCTTAATTTTCAACACAAATAATAGTCTCGCTACCTTAATAAACTAACCTATTGTTAGCTAATGGCTCATCTTGTCCTTGTGGCATGTAGTGCTCCCTCTGGTGATGACTCCACACTGACAGTGAGAGGGCGCAATTCAAGCGATTGCTCCGTTCTCAGATCATTAAATATTAGTTAGGTGTTGAAGTTTTGGTAAGATAAATTTACCAATCGTCGATTTTAAAATGTTTTACAAAATTGGAATTATTATAAAAAAAAAGTCAGGTTAAAAGTGTCAGAATGACAGTGGTTGGTATCCGCTGATCACTGGTTAAGAAAAACATATAAACACCATGCTAGACATTGTATTTGAAGTAAGCCTCCAGATTTTGCGTTTCAGTGAATTAGAGCTGATAAAGACAGATAGAATATTTAGTGGTCTAATATATTCACTTTTCATGCGGGAAATGTTGACAAATAAGGTCAAATCATACATTTTTCTAAAATGTATGCTCTCTGTTCTCAAGCATAAATTTGCTAACACTTTTTCACAATTATTGCATGATCCTTGTATGGCCATTTGCATGTTTTAACAAAGTTCACTTTTTTTCAACACATCATTGTTTTAGGGCCCGAGACAGAGCCCGCCGTGACTCCTATAGGTGGGTAACTATCGATAGTGTGTGTGATCTATGAATTCCTCTAGTTCTAGTATCTAAGTTACCCATAATTCTTTGCGCACATTCAGTCAAGCGAGAATACGTTTGTGCCAATTTTACAGTCAATTGAAGGAAAATTGGACAGAGGAAACTGCTTGTTTGTCTTTCCTTTATATTTGGTATTAATGTATGCGTATTTATGTTATTGGGTTGTTTATTTGTGTATCAGATTATTTGTTTATTGTTTATTTATTAGTCTTTTTTTAATTCATTTATGTCAGTAACTGAAAAACCTATTACAACGACAGCTTATCCTGTAGTGGAGGGAAAAGCAGGTAGGACTCTCACTTCTTGCTAAGTTTCGTCCTGGGTTTTGGTCACAGATGTATAAAAATGTTGTATTCATAATAATAATCATGGCGATACATAGCCATTGCAAGGTGTGAAATGAAACAGTAGCATGGTACATTGAAACTATATATTATAGCGTGATAGTCGTCGCGCTGCGCATGTGCTAGATATATGGATCTCATATAAACAACGATGGCACTTTGACTGTTGC